CTTGCACCTGGCTGGAAGTAGTCTTAAATACTACAAGCTACATGACTATATGGTAATTGCTTTAACGAAGTTTTGAGAAAAATGCTGCATTAGTAACAAGAAATGGCAATTCAAATTTTAAGAAGGGAAGACTTCTTGACCTTTGAACTTAATAGGCAAGTAAGACTTTACCCAGGAAATGGCATTAAATATAGAGGAGGAAACATATGTTCAAAGTTTCAAAGTCATGAGACTAAAAAGAAAAATTAAAAAGAATTAGTATTGCTGAAGGTACAAGCAATGAAGCTACTGCTATTATTACAAAGGTGGAATTTTGTCTGATATGTTTTCTTTAGTCTTTTAAACTGTGGCTTCATTTCCTCTAAGTCTTTTGGGTGTATGTTAAGATTTATGTGTGTCACAGTAGAGTTCTTTACAGACCTAACTTAATCTTCTCCATGTGAGGTAATGAACCACTGAGGGTTAAATTGACATAACTCAAATTCCTACAGTTCAGACGCAAAGCTGAACTGAAATACAACCCAGGGTTTTCTCTGTTCCCAGTTCTTGTCAGCCATCTTCAGCCTTGTAGCAATGGAAGGCCAGGGAAGGAGTGGTACAGTCACTTTCATAAGTACTAAAACCTCCCTTGCTTAACATAGTGCTCTATTTTTCCAGAGTATTTTCATCAGCATCATCTTCAGACACTGTTACCACGAGCCTCCTCTGCCACACATTTTAATTTTCTTGAACAAGAGCACTTTTGTTCTAGTTCCAACAGTTTCTCCATAAAAATGGTCAGCAAAATTTAAATTCTGAGTCCCAAGCAAAAGCAATCACAACTAAAGTGGAAACAGATACACTATGAATGCAGGAACACTATATTTATTATGTCAACAGTTCATTTTTTAGCAATACAAGTACAGAATATATCACAATGCTGGTTACAAACATACTTAGTATGCTTTCATAGTTACAAATGATGGTGGCACTACACGTCGGTGAGAATATGCAAGGTCATTCTGACACAATGAGCTGTCTTCAAAAATCTATTAATGACCTTAGATATTTCTATAGAAATTACTGTGGCACTAGTAGTGGGGATTTTCCCGTAAAGAATGTTAGTGATTTATTTTTAATTGTTCCATTAAGAGCTTTTTATTTTGAGCCTATTAAACTAAAATCCCCTGTTGCTTAATAAAGTATAAAAATAGTACTGACCTGGTAATATTTAATAAAATGTAGCATTCATTCACATCATAAAAGTAGAACTAAATTGAAAAGTTTTTAGTTACCATGGCAACATATCTTCCCATAAAAGGAATGTACAGAATGAACGATGTTACACAAATGGTACCTGCAATGGTTATTTAGTGATCCAACACTTAACTGTGCACCACAAACCAAGTTTTCTAGATATCTATGTATAGCATATATATTTAATCTTAAATTTTACTCTTGAAAAACATGTGCACTTCAACAAACTCACTAAGGCCACTCATGCTATAGATACCTAGGACTGCAATGAAGCATAGCATTATTTAATAACCTTAAAGCACACTCCCTCAGATCATCAACAGGGGAAAACCAGTTTTCTGCCTAAAACATTCCTGAGATTCGTGGGCAAAAGTACTACTAGAGTTCAAGCTGGAGAGTAATCCAAATGTCTTATTTAAAAAAAAAAAAAATTTCCTGGTAATTTGAGGCCCTCCAAAGCCAAGAGGTGAAATATATGTTAATTTTAAAAGCAAAAATGAAACTCTTAAAAAAGTAATTATTTTTCCAGTAGTGATTTTGCCATCCAGAAAAATAAGTTTGGAAGCAGCAAGGCTATGCATCCAGGGAAACATAAAAAAGAAGCATCAGTTAAAAATATCTGCTACTTAGCAAATCATTCTTTCAATTTGCAAAGTTTTAGTCAAAAGCTGCAAAAAATTCTGTCTTAGGCATGTGTTTACTGCTCAGCTTTCTATCTGCACTATAAAGAACAGCAGAATGTTTTCTCATTAGTTCTAAGACCCAAGCTACTGTTTTTTTGTTTTTGTTTTTGTTTTTGAGACAAGAGTCTTGCTAGGTTGCCTAGGCTGATCTTAAATTCGTGGGCTTAAGTAATCCTGATGCCTCAGGGTTCTTGTGCCACAATGAGTGGCTTTCAGTACTTAATTATCACAAGGTTATAAACTCTTTCTAATAGGGTAGGAACAAACATCTCTGTCAAATCCTTTATCTTCACAATGCAAGAATACCTAGGCAGGAGTAAATACAAAGCAATAGTGAGTTCATTTTTAACCAAACAGAGATGTGATGGCAAGAAGGGTCCTAATCTTTTGGGCCAAGGTTGCTTAGAAGATTCATAAATGTTATACTCTAAAAAACCCAGTTGGCTCTATTACACTGAATGCGTGAGTGACTCACCTCCTGTGTGGCGTGGGCAAGAGCTCCCTGATGCCCCCAACTTGAGTAGCACCAAATGTCAGGAAACGACTGGGTAGAAGAGAAGTTAAGGAAGGATGAGATCAAAGTCCTTTACTTAAAGTTACTTCACTGAACCTCCAGAAAATTCTTTTAAGTTGGCCAGGGCTTCCTTAGACACAATCCCACAATATGTAAAAAGTTTATGCAAGCTACTGGTTATTGTGAAGAAAATTTTATTCATTTTTCCTTTGAGTTTTTTTTTTTTTAATGTCGTAAAGCATGGTGGCATTCCTCTCTTATTCTAAACATCCTTGCAAAAGGAATAAATCCTGCACTTAAAATTAAGGTACTATTTTTCGTTAGAATCAGAAATAACCTATCAAGTCATATCACTAGCAAATCAGCAATTTGTTTCCTTAAGCTAGAGTGTAGGCATTTTTATCAACTTTTAAAAAACTGTATTAAAGCAGTGGTGATAAAGAGAAACTGAGAATGATGAAAAACTGGCTACCATTTGACATTATCCCCCTGTGATCACAGGTTTCTATACATGTTACTTTATCACCGAGTGTGAGCTGAGTTCAAACTGAGTTAGGGCAGATGAGGCCTTAAGTTGATTTAATACTACAAAATGCTATATGTGCCTAAAACCAAAAAAAATCAGATTTAAAAAAAAAAAACTTCATGTGGAAACATAAATTTCAAAATATTTATTGAAAAACAATTGACCATGACATTCCTATACCACAAACATACCACAGGGCTCTAAATAACCAATAAAGTATACAAAGTCTATCCTGAAAATATCTTTGGAGTTATTAAATATATAAGCCCATGAGGATAGAGCTGAGTAACTTAAAAATGTTAGTCCTTGGTCACACAGACTATTTGGTAATTTTAATAAAGGGTGCCTGTTGGCAGTAGACGGCAATTAACTGGGAGGGGGACCAGCTTCGTAAAGTGTGGGTGTGCCAGTTCATTCTTTCCAGAACTTAAAAAAAGAAAGTCATTCAATTTGAGGAATAAGCCCAGGTTTCTAAATCGCAAGGTTATTATTATCTTAGTGTGTGGGCTTGTCTCATCTCTTTAGGTACACCCCCCAATAATAAATCTCATGAGGAAGCAAATGCACTGGCTCATAACTAAGACTGCAAAGAGCAGTTTCAAACAAGTTTAAAGGTGAAAAGTTCAAACAAGTATTTAACATAAACTTTGAAATCTCCAATTAATTCTTCTGTACTCTATGTGACAGAGTTTACATTTTTTCCCCCTCACCCAACATGCTTGTAAAAAAAAAAAAAAAAAACCAACAAAATTCAACACACACCCACTCACCCACAGAGTACTCCAAGCATTAGCCGGGAGCAACGTTTCTAACGGCCAAGTCATGAACCCCTGAAAATAGGGGAGAAACCCAGATTCTAACTACAGAGGCACTTGATGGGCCACTGTAAGAAGAATTGAGGTAACAGCAAAAGACCTTTTTGTTTCTTGGTTTGCTACGTGTCACAACTTCAAATTTAAGAATTTGAACATTACCTCAACATTAAATAACCAGACAGGCTTAAAAAAAAAAAAAGATCAAAACTCAATAAACAAATTAGTGAAATAGACATATCACTAGGGGATCTTTCCATTTGGCTCCTGCATTTCAAATAAAATGACTCAGTTGTACTATTATGTACTATAAAAAAATGAAGGACTTTCCAAGACTTATTTTTTGGACATTCATTTTCTTTAATCCCCATAAACCATATAATAAACTGAAATTTCCATCTAGACATGAGCTGTTTCAAGACTCTTAGCCAATGTACTTGTTAACAGCATTGATTATTAGGGTAACAATTAACATGAGGGCGGTAGATGCAACAGATACACTTGCTTATGGCATTGCCATCTGTTTACCTGAACAAAAGATATGCCAATGAAATTGCCAAATTTCCCTAGTTTGATATCTATTATGTGAATATAATTTTTGCATTATCATTGTTCATTATATGTCTAAATGAAATCACCCTATTAAAAAAGGTATATGCAGGGGCTAAAATAATCATCTAAAGCCTCTGGTCCAAATAACCACCTTCTTCATCAGGCTGGTCCTTTTTAGATTCTCCTGGTCCTGTTAGCAAATGCTATTAGAGCATCTTGCATTGTTGTACCAAAACAATTAAGAGTTAAAACTGCCCGACTATCAGATATGCTATTACTTACAGATCAACACTGGTCCAGTTCAGATGAATCTGACAGTCCTTTCCTTGTAGTATAGTTCTGGAGTGGTTGTGTCCACTCTCTGGGTAAGGCAGCCAAACCTAAGTCAGGATGTCCCTCTTTTATTAGTACTTATGTTTACTTTTCTATACTGCATATAAAGATTTTTCTCCATAAAACTTCTTTACAATACAGTATTGAATACCTCCACATGGAAGAATTATGTTAAAAAGTTGTTAAAATCATCCTTACATAATAAGAATGCAACTCTTTAAAACTCTTAAATAGTTTTATTTAGGGGTTCTTTTTTTTTTTCTTTCGGGCTTTTTGCAAAATGAATTCTTTTTTTAAAAAGAAAAGAAAAAAAAAAGATTTCCTGTTTGCTCTACTAAGTTTAAAATATGGGCCAGACTACTTATCCATGCATTACATGCTGAATATAACTGAATATATGCTTATTCTACTGACACTCTGCAAGATAGGGTTACCCAAAATAGGGTCTTCAAGGGACTGGACCAGTGTTTCAATGCAAACCCAGCCCCCAAACAACATGGTTTTGATTTCACAGTATGAATTCCCTGGAATCTGGGAAAAGGTAATTGGTTAACTGAGGTCCTCCCTCAGCAGCTTGGTCCCTCAACATTCTGAGAAATCAGGAAGGACTGCACCACTTCTTCAGTGGACTGGGGGCTGGTGTTGACATCTTCAAGAGCATCGGTCACTGAATACTGCCGATCTCGCAACCGGTTCCAGTTAGACAGAACATTGTGATATTCAAATACTTTCTCATAATTTCCAATGGAGTTGTAAAGTTTAATGAGACCTCTGTAATCATATTCCAGTCCACTGTAGCCTTCACCAAAAAGTTTCTTTCCTGAAAGTAACAAAAACAAAAGTTGGTCAAATAATAAAGTAAAAAGCATTTTTTTCTTCAATACAAATACAAGCTTAATTCATTAAACAGGTTGGCCTGTTTTCCCCTAAAAGGAATAAATACAATTCTTTTTTTGGGGGGGAGCAGTACTGGGGGTTGAAGTCAAGGCCTTGCCCTTGCTAGACAGGTGCTCTATCTTAGATACAACTCTTATATTAATGCCTCTTAACCCACTCCTAAATATGAGCTATATGTAAGACTTTCTCTTGTCTAAAGAGGTTGATTTCATTAGAACAGAATTATGAAATTTCATGGTTTTAAGGGCCTGATTTTTAAAAGAACTCAAAGTAAAGAATGGCAGCACCGCTAACAATGAAAACACATACTCACAAAGGCTATTCATTACAGAAATATTTGTTATTGCCCAGTAATAGTGAAAAGTGAAAATACAGAGGAAATGGTTCAATCAACTGTAGCCCACTCAATGGCATACTATTCAGGTGTAAACCAAGGAGGCTTTCAGCTATGAACTGATATGGAGTGATTTATAAGGTATATCTTTTTTTCTTTGGTGGTACTTGGGCTTGAACTCAAGGCCTCATACTTGCTAGGCAGACAGGGTCTTACCACTTGAGCCACTCAACCAGCCCAGGTGTATCTTTAAGTTAAAAAAAATGTATAAACTTGGAACCGGTGGCTCAGGCCTGTGATCCAAGCTACTCAGGAGGCAGAGATCAGGAGGACTGAGGTTTGAAGCCAGCACAGGCAAATAGTTCCCTATCTCAAAAAGAACCCATCACAAAAAAAGGGCTGGTGGAGTGGCTCAAGGTATAGGCCCTGAATTCAAACTCCAGTAGTGCCAAAAAATAAAAATAAAAAGTATAAAAGAGTATCTATTGTACAACAGATATTCTTTTTTAGGTAAGGAAAAAAGAATACTTGTTTATTTGCAATTCTGTGCAAAAATATACACAGAAAGAATAAACCAGAAGCTAATGAGATTGGTTACCCAGGTGGGTAGGAAATGGGCAGAAGAAATTAGGGGAAACTACATGCTTCTAGGAGCATACTTTTCTATATAGTTGTGATTTTAGGAACATTAAGTATTTCAAATAAAAAAAGATAGAGGAAGCGAAATGTAATATAAACATAAATAAGCCTAATTATTTTTCAAACGAGTAACATATCCACACTGAAGGGAGGCAATAAATAAATTAACTTCAACTACTTCTGAACACATTCTGAATATATCCTACTTTCAAGGTAAAGACAATGAAAACTAAACAAAGATCAAACTCTAAGTAGTAGGTCTGTTATTCACAGATGTATAGGCTAGCAATTCTGAAACTGAATTTTAGGACTAAGGGAGTAAATCAAAATATAGCTAGTGGGGGACTCACATATACATGGACACATGATTTATGCCAAAGGTAGCACAGTAGAGGAAAAAAGACAGTCTTCTGAAGAAATGGTTCCAGGTCAACTGTCTATGCATATGGAAAAAAATGAAATTTGATTCCTACCTCACACCATAAACAAAAATCAATTGTGTAACTGTACATCTAAGTGTGAATGGTTAAGTAATACTTCCAAAAGATAATCTTTTAGAAGAATACCTTCATGACTTTGGAGTAGGAAAAGATTTCTTAAGCTGAATATTAAAATTGTAAATCACAGAAGAGGAATGCATTTAATTACATTAAAATTAAGAAGTGTTATTTTTTAATGGGTACCCTTAGTAAACAACCAGTAGAATGAGAGACGATACTGGCAAAACATATAATCAATAAAGAGCTTCTCATATCTATAGTGTATAAAGAATTGCCATAAGTCAAAGAGAAAATGACAATTCAATATGAAAATAACAAGACATTTATTTATTTATTTTTTAAAATAACCTTTATTAAGTTAACATGTGCATTACAGGAAACAAACACATGAAGCAAAGAACAAAATCATCCATAGCCACAAGCAGTACAGTTGGACTGTCCTAAATCCTGTGTACACATAACGATCCATTTTAGGTAACTGAGATCGTATGGTCTGTATCATGCTTTTCCACACACTGTGAATACTCACCAACTCAATCCCAAAACTACATGAATATTTTGATAGCCAAGAATACACTACACCAACTCAATCTGTTAGGAAAAAATTATAACCCTGCCTTCCTTGGGGACAAAAATTTCACTGAAGACAGAAATGGCAACAGGCCTCTCTCTAGACAGAATTATTGGCAGAGTTACAATACTTCATTCCCTTAATGCTCCATTTACAATGAGACATAAAACAAGAGTACACTAAGCATAGTTTCTGAGAGTTCATTATCATATCTACACTATTAAAATATTAGCAAGCAGGCATGTTCCCACTGAATTAATGTATCTCTATAGTACAGACAGAAGATACATACACATCAGTGGCTCTCATCAAACTGTGAATCTGAGCACACCTGCACATAACTCTCCCTATAGGCTTCCTTCGGCCCCTCTGCTACCAGCCTAATGAACAAGTACTACTCACAATGCCAGAGGCGTGACAATTTCAGGTCAAAGATGCATCTTTTCTGTTGATTATAACCTATTTACAAGTTGGCTAATTCACTAGCTCTACTTTTTACCATACACTGTTACCTCAGGATTTCTATAAAGCTTAGATGTTGCACAACAATGAACTTTGTGCATAATAAACACAAGTACTTTACCAAAAAATGCACATACGGGGTTTATAACAAGACATTTAACAGGCATCTCTCTTTCTCTCTTTCTTGACAGGGTCTTAATATGTAATCCAGACTGGCCTGGAACTCACTATCCTCCTGCCTCAGTCTCCTGAGTGCTGGGATCACGGACTTGTATCACCACACCTATCTAACAGGCACTTCATAAGATGATGGCCACAAATCTTGTTTTGTAATACACGAAAATGAAAAACAACCCAAACGTTCCATATGTTCATTAATAGTGGAATGGACAAATAATAATACACTAATCTAATAAAATACTATATAGCACTGGAAATTAAGAAGTGGTAGTGATATGCAACACAGATGTATTTTACAATCAATGTTCACCAAAAGAATCTAGACATAAATATATAAATTATATGAATCCATTTATATCAAGTTCAAAAACAGGAAAATCTAGGGGCTGGATATGGAGGCATACATCTGTAATCCCAGTTACTCAGAAGGCAGAAATTGGGATGATCATGATTTGAGGCCAGGATGAGCAAAAAGTCCACAAGACCCCCACCTCAACAAGTAAGTTAGGTTCCACCAAAAACCTACACAAATAAACAAGCAAGCAAACAAAACCCCGGGTAAACCTAATCTATGACGTTAAAGGCATGAGAGAGGATAGTAATTGCACTAGCACTTGAAAATAACTACTTTTACCTACACTTGACCCTCCAGGCTCACACCTCTTACTATTGACTTCCAACATCAAAATCACCTTTAGCCAAGTGTTCCAGGTTGATTTTTGGTAGTTTCTGAAAATCCTCTGCAGTTCTCAACTTTTACTTCCCAGTAATAACAGTTCCTTTATACAACATATAAAACATGCTGATCTGTTAATTAACTGACTAAAGAAAATTTAAATGTAACATACCAATTGCTATAGATCGTAAATACAGTTTCTCAGCATTTTCATACTGATTCATGTCATAATTATATAAAGATGCCAGATGTCCCACTGAAAGGGCTACTTCATAATCTTCTTGACCAAGAAGTTGCTCTTTAATCTGAATTGCTTTGATGTGCATTTCTTCAGCTTCCTAAAAAATAATTATGCCAATCGATCATTCAACTATACTTTTTCTTAGGTCAACAACTGTCCAATGAAGAAGATTGCTCTAAATGTCAAAGATAGCTTATGAATGATATAATGCATAAGATCAAGGAACATACTATGTTATTCCAAAAGCTCCCAACAGAAAGTATTTGGCTTTTGGAAATTGTGCATATAAGCCAATGACAGCAGTACTGTGCTATATCAAAAGTGATGAGAGAAAACTTTTTCAAGTAATAAAAAATTGTTAGAAGAAATTAAAAAAGAACTTAACAAAACTGCTAGAAGAAATTAAAAGTGAAAATTTTATCTTTAAGTTAACACATTCAAAGTTTAATTGAACCTTGTTAAAAAGAGGTTAACTAACACAGACATTTTTTTTTTGAGTTTTGATCATTTTTATTCCAACAAACTAAATGCAGGCTAACTGAGGGATATACAGATTGATTATCAGGTGAAAGTCAAAATGTTAGGCAGACTTTCTGTCTCTTCTGAGACCCCAAAATAGGCAAAATAACTGATAACTCAAAATTCTAAAAGGGAAACAAAAGTCAGTTATTGCACTGCTACTCTAAATGCTACTTAACTATTAATAATTATAAAATGAATTATATGTGAACAATACTACTATTAATATCTGATATTTCTATACCTACCACATGCCACACATTCTACTAAAAGCTTAACATACTTAGCTAAGACTATGTTTGAAGTCTAACAATCATGTTAGGCTTTTAGATTTAACATGTTTCTTATTTTTCCATGGTGTTGATTTGCTAATTTTACTAGTATTTAAGGTAGGAATACAATGAATGTGTATTTCACTATTTAAGATTACTAAAGATTTATTATTTAGGGAAAGAAAAATACAAACATGTTTCTACCTTGAATTTTCTCATTGACTGATACAGTCTCCCAAGGTTTCCATAGTGTTTTGCTGTCTGCACGTTAAATTCTCCAAAAGCTTTTTTAGCGAGTTGAAGTGAAGACAGGTGCAAATCATGGGCTTCTTGAAGCAGCCTCTGTTCAGTTTCCTTATTATGACAGTCGATTGCAATCTCCTCTAAAATAAGTGCTGAATAAAGAAAGCAGTAAGTTAGTGCACATCAAAACTGACAAATCAGAACATCTAACAGAAAATTTATACAGAAATATTTATTGAATATATTATATATGACTATGGTTTAGAACTGGTCAAGAACAAAGTATTCTAGTTTAACAATATACTTTTCGGGAGCCATTTTATTTTGCACAGTAGAATGAATCTAAATTTAAGAAAAACAATGGTATACATCAAATTATTTTGCAGAATTAGCTTCTATATTAACAGACTGCTCTACTCTGCTGATAAGAATTTATTTTTGAAAGTAAATGCAAAATGAGCCTTTTTTCTTCTTTTTTTTTGTGGTACTGAGGTGTGAACTCAGGGCCTCGCACTTGTTAGGCAGGTGTTCTACCATTTGAGCCACTGTGCCAGTCCTTTTTTGGATTAGGTATTTTTCAAGATAGGTCTTGTGAACTATTTTCTGGGGCTGATTTTGAATCCTCCTGATTTCTGCTGCCTTAGTAGTTAGGATTACAGGTGTGAGCCACTATTGCCCAGATAAGACGCAATTTTTTTTTTAAGTTATGAAACTGTATCAAGGAGTACCTACACTTTTGAAAATTTTGAGACTACTTTATAAATCATAACCTTTAACTAAACACAACTAAAAGAACTGGCTCTTCCTACACACTTGACCAACGAAATCAAACTAAAAGACATTTCAACTTCAAAGTTCCATTCAAGACTTTCAAAATCATTTAAAGTCTTAAGAACATATATGTTTTACCAGGTAATTTCATTTCTTGGACAAATGTCTACATGCACAAAGGTAACTAGCATTTTTAAAGAATGTATGGTTTTAAAACAACACAAAGGCCCAATAATAGAGATGAAATTAAATATATCAGAAGAAAAGGTAAATACCTATGCATATTGAAAAATGTTCATGATATATTAAATGAAATAATAAGGTTATAAAACTACAAATTATTCATTCATCTTATTTAAAGAAAAAAGTCACTAAAATGTTGATTCAGGATTGGCGGCATTTTCAGGTAACTTAATTTATGGACATATTATTTGTGTAGCTTAATTCCAATCTACAGGGAGAAAAAAAAACAGCCCCAGGATTTACGTAAAACTTATCCTATGTGCATGGAATTATTATAAGAATGACCCAATCATGTTAGCAAAATAAATGCATAAAATGAAAGAGCATAGTGGTGGCTAAAAGAAAAGTTAAAATAAGAAATGGAAAAAAGTGATATCTGGTCTGATTTCAAACCTCAGTACTGCAGAAAAAGAAAACAAACAAACAAACAAAAAAACCAAAGTGATATTTGGCAAGAGCTTTGCGATACTCAGGACAACCTGATCTGAAGCTCAGGTTAAGAATCCTGCACTATAGTGGAGCAGATGTAGCACACTTGTAATCCCAGTACTGAAGAGGCAGAGGTAGGAGGATCACAGTTTGAGGTCTGCCTGGGCCCTCCCCAAAAACATAGGAAGGGTTAGGGATAGTGATTGAGTACTTGCCTAGCATATGCAAGGCCCTTGGTTCAATCCCCCAGTACTGTGCAAAACAAAAAAACAGGAAGAAAAAAAAAAAGAGAGAGACTGAAATTTTAGCATTATTAAGCTAAACCTATGAAATAACATCTTCAATGTCTTATTCACATTACTGTGGAATCACTTGTGCTATTCCTTCAGGTTCTCCTCAAAAGAAACTAGTGCCTGCATGCATGAATAAATAAATAAAGACAAAAGAAAGAAATTAACTTGAATTAACAATGCAGTAGAAGTAACTATGAGAAACCTTTAAACGGAGTTGAGAAAACTGGCTAATTTAGTAATATGTAGCTAGAGATTAAACATAGTATTTCTGAGAAATAAGCAAGGGCACTTATTTTGTCATATACCACCAATTTAAAATAATTTGACACTGGATTACAAAGGGTACCTTTCACCCTCTTTGAAGAAGCCAGAAGAAGATGATCTTCAGGTAGGATGTGAGTAATGATACCAATAGCTCTTTCTGCATGAAATCTGCAATTACAGATAGAGATAATGTGGCATTTCTTTGCAGTTACAAATGATTTAAGCATTCAAAAAAATCACAATCTATAATATAATAGTGATAGAAAGTAGTTCTACAACTATGGTAAACAATCAAGTTTTTGTGTTTTTCCTAAAGTTCTGATTTTTTTTTCAGGCTGGGAATTGAATACAGGGCCTCTCACATGCTGGGTAAGCACTCTGCCTCTGAACTACATCCCTAGCCCTAAGAATCAGTTTACTGTTGTTTTAAATTTTCATCTGTTGGGCCCTAAGCTTTTAATACCTAAAAGATTCTTATCTCACTCAGAATAAAATAAGAAATCTTTACTATGGCCTACAAGGCTCAACACAATCTCTCACATCTCTCACCTTGCTACCTCTGATCTTACTGGCTATTTTTTTTTTTTTTTTTTTTTTTTTGGGTGTGACTGGGTTTGAACTCAGGCTTTACATGTGCAAAGCAGGCGCTCTACCACTTGAGCCATAGGGAGATGGAGTCCCGCCAACTGTTTGCCTGGGCTGGCCATGAACTGTGACCCCCATGATCTCAGCCTCCCAAGTAGCTAGGATTAGCCAGCAGCATCCAGCTCTACCATTCTCAGACCAACCTTCTCTTACCCCTCAACCACACAGGTCTACCAGTTTCCTGACATGCACAAAGCATGTTGTCATCCTTGCCACTTGCTTTTCCCTCTCTTTCTGCAATGCTCTTCTGAATATCCACATGGCTCACTTTCACTGAACATGTCTTTCCAGAACAGACTATTCATACGAAGTCTCTAAAAATAACCTGCCACTAAATGCTTAGCCTATCTCATTCTTCACAGCAGTATTCTTGCCTGACATGTATGGTTAGTTGTTTATAGTCTACCTCACCAAACAGAAGGTGAATTATTTGTTCATTTTACCTGCCAGTTCTTTTCAAACAACTATAAGCTTCCTATTCCTGTTGTCTAAGTAATCCTACATTTTCTCAACTCTATCTTCAAATTTCACTAATTCTCTCTTTAGTTGTAAGTGATCTGCTGTTTAACTTGTTTACTGAGATTTAATGTCAATAACTACTTTCTATTTCTAGTCATTTGTGCTATTTGTTTAATAGCAGGTTTTTCTTATTAAAATGTAATTCACATACCACATAATTCACAGAGTTGTAATCAATTTTAGAATATTTTCATCATCTCAAAAAGAAACCCAGGCCAATTTAGCAGTGATTCTCCACTTCCCTACAACTCCTCAGCCTAAGTAACAACCATTTACATTCTCTGTCTCTATGAATTTGCCTATTTTGGACATTTCACAGAAATGGAATCATGTAAGATGGCAACCTTTTATGATTGGCTTCTTTCACTTAGCAGAAAGATTTCAAGATTCAACCATGTTGTGGCATATTATCAGTTGTTTTATTGTAAAACCAAAGCCAGGTGCTGTGGCACCTGTCATTATTTCCAGCCCTCAGAAGGCTGAAGAAGGAAGATTGATTGAGCCTGAAAGTTCAAGGCCAGCCTGTGGAACATAGCAAGACTTTTTATTGATACATTTTTACCAGTAAAAAGTAAAGCCTGCCCTATTTTCCTTCCAAAGTATTATTAATACCTTCTTGTATATCAGGGTTGGCATATTTTCAGAAAGGGGCCAGACAGTAAATATGTTACACTGTGTTGGCTGTTCTCTGTCAAAACTATTTAACCCTGTTATTGTGGTGTGGAAGCAGCTATAGAAAATAAACGAACGAATGAGTATGGCTATGTTCCAGTAAAATCTTATTTTGCCAATCCACTCTATATCTTTAATCATTAAAGGATATGTACTTTATAATTATCAAAAAATTCTGCTAAAGTTCTAATCCTACTCTTATGTCTGCTGAATCTCACTCATAGGATAAATGGTTCCTTATGTAATGTGTAATTTTTGATGTTGAGTTCATTTTAGGTAAATCTATAAGATGTCTGTATGACTTGGGTTGATAGTTAATTACCTTCAAGAATTTTGTGTTTTTTCCTAGAAGGCATCACAAGAGAACTATCGGCTCCACAGTTTCCATGCATGATCCACACAGGCCAGAGTGGTATAGGTCTGCAGTTATATGTACGTTCCCCTGTGAGACTCCTTTTTTGGTTAGTTTTGGCCCAAGCTCAGATGGACAAATTTTGTCATGCTCTGCTAATGGACAATTAGTCTCACCCCAAGTCCTTTTCCTGAGGGTATATCATTGATCTTGGCTTCATATGAGGGTTTCAGTGCTAACTCATAGCCTCCTAGAGGCTGGTTGCACAAGGATTATTGTGCAATCAAGATTACAGAAACCTCTAAGATTTCCTACCATCCCAGAGTGGTTGTGGTTATACCACAGTTCATGCTATAGATGTTAGGGTCCATTATTGCTTGTTGGGGACTTCTTTTCACTCTTGCAGGCTTAGTCGCACATATGTAAGAGCTGACTATTATATTTTATTCAGTGTTTCTGTAAGTTTTGAGCAAGAAGTTTTTAGGGTATTAAATCTGCTGTCTAGCTAATTATTACTCAAAGAAATTGTGGAAGCAAACACTCAAAAGATACATAATAGTCTATATGGAAATATACAAGTCTCAATATTAAAACCACATAAAGCCTAATGAATGAATGGCTTACAAATTAGTATGATTTCAAATGATTTCCTAAGCATTTTAGACATCTTCTTAAAGTTCCAGAAATAAAATGCAGTAAGTACTATTATACTAGGGAAAACCCCCCAAAAATAGTATTTAATCTTTCACTGAAAAGGAATGTGGAACTTACAGTGCATTGTCAAATTTCCCAGAACTATACTGGTGAACATAAGAAGAATAAGCCAAGTCTTCATGAGCTGTTGCTACATGGATATTTTTGCCACCAAACACTGACTGTCGAATGTCAAGGGCTGCCTGGAAGAGTCATAAAAATATTTAATAATACTGTAAAACTTTACAAAATAATACCTACGTTAAGTTAAACATCCTCATAATTTATATAGCTAATCCCTTAAGTTTTTAAGCAAGAAAGTTCTGTTGTACTTAAATTGTAGAAAAATCATGAAAGTCACCCAGAATGCATTATTTTGTGAAGCTGGAGCCTGACTTTAAAAGGTAATAGCTTAGTAAGGTGTTGGCACACACCTATAATCCCAGCACTTGGGATTCTAAGGCAGGAGGATCTCCAGTTTGAGGCCAGCCTGGGCTAACACAGTAAGGTGCTGCCTCAAAAAAACAAAACAAAACAAAAACAAACTCCTCCCCCCCCAAAAATAGGCAGTGGCTTAATAATCTTTCCTGTGTCTTGGAAATCACATCAAGTTTTTTCTCTGTCCTTCCTTGCTTTATTTATTTTTTTGGGGGGGTAGGAGCTTGAACTCAGGGCCTACACATTAAGCCACTACGCTAGCCCTTTTTTGTGTTGGGTTTTTTTTTTTTCCAAGGTAGGGTTTCTTGAACTATTTGCCCAGGCTGGCTCTGAACCATGATCCTTCTGATCTCTGTCTCCTGAGGAGCTAGGATTGCAGTCATGAGCCACGGTGCCCAGCTTAGGTTTCTTTTTTTTTGGTGGCACTGGGCTTTGAACTCAGGACCTCACGCTTGCTAGGCAGGCAACCTACCACTTGAGTCACTCCGCCAACCTTTTCTGTCCTTCTTTAAAGTGAACTATAAAATTAAGGATACCTTGTCTGGAGTCAAAGTACACACATTATTTCCCTGAGAATGACAACTTATAAGGCCTAATATTGCTATCAGTCCTTGCAGGTAGAAAGGCAGCTACGTTGACACTTGGTGAATCAACCAAAAGACAAAAATGGGCTCACAATCCAACAATTATGTTCCTCAATGATTCTCTTTAATCCTTAAAACACTGAACTTTTAAGCCATTTAGATAATAGTTAATAAAAAGGGTAACGGTTAACATACCTGATAAATTGCAACAGACTGACAGATATTATCTACATTGAGTAAGTAGAACCCATAATCTAGCAGTGTATCAGAGTACTTTGGGTGTTTGGATCCAAAATGATCCCTATAAAAAGATACAAAACTATTAGGATATAAAGCAGAGAGATAATATGAAATGTTACTTTTAGTAACAATCACCTACCGTGCCAAATACACTGCATGTTTAATTAACTGTTCTGCCTTCTTGAATTCACGTTTTACTACACAAGCCTAAAGACAAAGTGAAAAACTGTTAAATACCTCTCAAACAGTTCATTAGCGTGCAAAGTAAATACAGCTCATATATTCCTATTATAATAGTTAATAAGAAACAATCTTCAAATGTAAACACAAAGGTTCTATTTATAATTCCTTTCCTTCCAAGTACTTAAAAGATCTATTATAAACAGATCTATATAACCTGGGAAAATCATGTAATTTAAAACTTTGACCATCATTTCTAGTGCACACTTGTTACCTCACATAGCTGGTACTACTATCCTTCTACAATATTAAAATAGAATGGTGGGGGGAAGGGCTTACCATATACAGTATTTTCTAAGGTACTTATCCCAGTTCTGGAATGGCTTATGTGACAACCTTTTGTAGCTATCTTTATATATATATGGTTCCAGGCAGTCTCCTATCCAAGTGCTAATCAGACCTAACCCTGCTTTTAGCCTGTGAAATATGGCACATTCCAGGTGGCATGGCCATAGATTCATCTAATAATTTTTAAATAAACAGAAATTTCAAGTTTTCCTATTCTTTCTTTTTTTTTTTTTTTTTTGTGGTACTGGGGATTGAACTCAGGGCCTCATGCATGTGAGGTCCTATTATTTCTTTAAAGTATTTTGAACCACGTAGAAAGTTAATCTTTTAAACTCTGCCATCTTTATGTTGTTCAGTATTTTGAATTAAGAATACTAATATTCCTTTTTTAGTGCTGACGACTTGAATATTTATACTGCTGTTTAATTGCTCTAAAATCACTGATTTAACATTTCACAGAAATATTTCAGTCTTCTAAATCTACAATTTTGTATTCTTTTCCCTAACTAAATCTCCCTAAGTAAAACCAACCAAAATGGAGCATTAAAATTTGAGAAACTTCTATGCAGGAACAATATGCATGAAAAGTACATTACTGCTTTACGCCTTCAGTAAGTGAAAACAGTAATTTTTAAATGCTACGAAATGGTTTCAAAGAGTTAATGAATTCATTTACAGAGTAAGATGCAACTAGAGAAAAATCTAATGAAGATTATCCATCAGGCTAAGTATAGCAAGTGTCTTGCCAAGAGACTGAAATACTCTGAACAAAACATTTAATACTAGACTCTCCTTTAGGAGAAATATGATCAGAACTCACACAATTTTGGCAAAAGAAGTTGAGGTTACTATAGGGGTTTAAGAAAAAACAAAAACTTAAGCCAGAACAGCACCAAAATACTACTTTAATCTGTATACTTTAGTGAGCTGAAACACTTATCAAAATGAATTTCTTCACGGGTTTTCTTAGTAAAGGAAAATCAGCTAAAGTCTATGTAAGACAGTTTTGGTTAGAAACCAGGTTTTTAAAACTGAGTAGAGACACTTGGAAAATTGACCTTATTAGTCTACATAGTACCTAAAACTAAGATGTTAAATACTAGGTTAGCAAATCCAAAGCCTGATAAATTCTATAATTCATTTAAGAATCTTAACATTATAGTAACCTTAGAAGCTTGTCTTAAAACATCCACCACAACTTTGACTGGCAAGCCTGCTGTAATTTCTTTCATTGCCTCGATGCACCATTTGTATGCCTAAAAAAAACAAAATAAACTTTTTAAGAAAAGAAGTCAAACTGATAGTACTTATGAAACTATAATTTTCCTACAAGCTTTAAGTAAATAAGAACATACAAAATATTGTTATAATTTCCTAAGCTAAATTTTCTCAAAGTATGAGTTATGTTATTTTTATTCTTAGTATCTATAGCTTTCCTGAATTTAGACCTCACAGATATGACACATTCTCAGAAAATGACAGCCATGTTCTCTTTTGCCCAGAAGCCTTTTCATATAGTATTCCCTCTGCCTTAGAATGCATTCCCCCTTCTTTTTATTGGTGGGATGGGGTATGAACTCAGGGCTTTGCCCTTGCAAAACAAGGGCTCTGTCACTTGATCCACACCTCCAGTCCATTTTGCTTTGGTTTTTGGAAATGGGGTCTCCTGAACTGTTTGCCTAGGATAGCTCTGAGCCACCAGAGCCTGGCTGCATCCCCTCTTCTTCTAACCTCTTAGCTCATCTAATTATCTTTCAGGTTTCAGCCCTAGATTAGGTTCCCTGTATTTTCCCTCCCCTTCTATAATATTTAATTACTTTACATTTTAATTGCCTCTTTAGCTGAGTGCTTACTTTGTTCTAATAAGCACTATGTGCCTTAACATGATTAAATGACACAACATGAAGTATGTACTATTATTATGGGAAACTGAGATTAAGTGGCAGGCAAAAGAGCTAATATGTATGCGGTGGGAAACAAAACAAAGAATGTCCTCCTCCTCCTCCTAGTTATTAGTAGAAGGGGAAAAACAGCAGAAAGAAAACAATTTTATGAAGGGATCCAAGGAATGGGGAGAAAAATAATAATTTGTTCTCTTTTGTAAACTTCCTTTTACATTTCACTTAAGAGATGCAGCTATTCAGGGCATGGGGCTGTGGCTCAAGTGATAGCATGCTCACCTAGCAAGCAAAAGACAGCTGAGTTCAAACCCAGTGGAGAGAGGAGAAAGGTTTGGGGATGGGAGTGGGGGTGGAGGAGAAAGATTTAGAAATAACTGTGATGCAAAAATGAAATAAAAGCTACTTATCCCACTTAGATTTAGGCCAAAACACATGGTTTGTGTTTGTAAGATAGGAAATATGTTGGCTTTGCTCCAAAGTAATAATGTAAAAGAACCGTGGAAGACTGTATACTGTTTAACAATACTATTCTATTCCTTCTTCCCCACTTTGAGAAGGACATACTTCTCTTCCAAATTAAAGACAAGGGTGGGCTGGAGGTACAGCTTAGTGGCAGAACACTTGACTGTGTTCAATCCCTAGCACTGCAAAAAAAAGAAAAAAAAAGAGACAAGTGTAGCTGAGTGCTTTCTCTCAGTCCATTAAAATATGAGCAAAAGTTAAAGGTATCATTTCTGGGTAAAAGCTCTAAAAGCCAGCAGTACATTCCATTATATTCTTATATTCTGCCTTGGCTCCAAGGCTTATAATGCTCCAGATTGATGTGCTAAACCACAGTGGGTCTTGATCAAAGTGTAGACAAAATATTAAGGACAGCTACAGCTCTCCCAGTGTGAGCAAGAAATAAACTTTTATTGTTCCAAGTCACTGTTTTAGGATTGATATTGCCTCAGAATGGGCAACAATATCATAACTAATAAGAATTTGATGGTAATTCATCACATACTATCCTCATGATTTATGTAGTTTCTTGTAGTTATCAATGAAAAGTCTAAAAGAATAAACAGGGGAAAGAGAAGGTAGGATGGTGTATTTGAAGTATCCACTCAGAATTCTGACTCTATGAATGACAAAAGTCAGATAACTAAGGACTGACTATTTTGAAGAGAGAAAGGGAGGAAAGAGCTTCAGGATCCATGAAAGAGGTTGGCAGGACAGCAGAAAAGCAAGAGTAACATGCATCAGAGAAAAACAGCATGAAGTTTCAAGCCCCCTTGGGGGAGGGGAGCTAAAGACAAAAGTACAAGGTAAATGGAACTAGAGATCATGCTAAGTGAAGTAAGCCAGGTGCAGAAGGACAAAGGTTTTAAGTTCTCTCTCACATGTGCAATCTAGACCTATAAGATAAATGTATACATAAATACATACGTGACCATATATACATACACACATATAGAGAGAACATGTTTGTAATAGTGGGACTGTTTGAGGGGACTATTTAAGAGGACTAGGTGGGAGAGGAAAAAAGAATGATACCGTGAATAATATCTAAATACATCACATCTCTGTATGGAGATAAAGTATGCTGAAAACTGTTGAATAATTGAGGGGTATGAGGAATAAGGAGAGAGTAATAGAGGGGTTAATTTGGTTAAAGGACAATATAAGTATGTGTGAAATAACCCAGAGAAACTCCCCCAAACAATTAATATACACTTAAAAAAAAAGGAGGTCATGAATGTAAAATAAGTCCAGTTCCTAGGGAGGAGTGGGGAGAAGGAGAGGTAGAAGGAGGGAGAGTGAATGGAGAGGGTGAAGGAAAATGAATATGGTGGATGTACTTTATAAACTTATATGAAAATAGAACAATGAAACCAGCTGAAATAGTTTTAACAAGCAGGAGGAGGGATGAAGGTGCATTGTAAGCATATATGGAAATGTCACAATGAAACTCCCATATAATATATGCTAATTATCTAAGAAATGCCAATGTACTTAAACATTCTCCATGAATGTGCTAAGACTTTGCAAAGACCATAAATAAGGAAGGCATAGTATAAAGCCCTAAGTCAATTAACTGGTATTAGCTCAGTAAATAAAAAAAAATAAAAAAAAAAAAAGGAAGTAGTAAAAGGTAAAAAATGGCAGGATAGGGTAGGGACCGGGTACAGTGGCTTCTTCCTCAGGCAGAAATCAGGAGGACTGGAGTGCAAAGCAAGCTCAAGCAAAAAGTTAGTGAGGCCCCATCTTAACAAAATAAGCTGGGTGTAGTGATGCATGCTTGTAATTCCACCTACATGGAAGACAAGTGGAGAATCTTAGGTCCAGTCCAACTTGGGCAAAAACCCCAAGACCCTATCTAAAAAATAACCTAAAGCAAAAAGGACTGGAGGTGTGGCTTAAGTGCCAGAACTCTTGGCCTAACAAGTTCAAGACCCTGATTTCAAACCCTAGTACACCAAAAAATAATGGTAGGATATGAATTGTTCTACGGAACAGAAAGAAAAATACTGAGTTCAGGAAAGCAGTGTGAGACATGAGGGATAAGAAGCAATAATAGAAGAAGATCCAGAGCTGCGAGCCAGTGGTTCACGGCTATAATCCTAGCTACTTGGGAGACAGATTTGGAGGATCGCAGTTCGCTAGCCTGGGCAAATAGTTTGTGAGACCCTATCTCTAAAACACAAAAAAAGGGCTGGTAGAGTAGCTTAAGGTGTAGGCCCTGAGTTCAAGCCCTAGTACTAGGGGAAAAAAAAAAAAAAAACAACCACCAGACAGCTCTGGTTCTTATGCAGAGGTATGAAAAGATGGGGCATCTGAAGAACTTTTAAGATAGGAATTACTCACTACTCAAAGTGATGATGTACTTTCTACTTGTACTTGTACTTGTCAGTTATTTGCACAAACGCCTTTTGTGAATGGCGTTTAGTGTGTGAAAATTACATGGGGGCCAAATTCCATATTTAAGTTGATCAACTATGGAGCAGTCATTACCCAGGGGCCACAGAACAACCCATCAACTGAACAAATACAGTGGATACAGAGCTCAGCATAAAAAATGAGCAGAAGTATATAAACTTCCTAAATAGTACATATGTGCTGATAAGGATTTTAGATTTTTACATGCTGGTTTGATGTATTCCATATAGATATTAGAAAACAGGATGATCTTTGTGTCTGAATTACATAAACCTCATTTTTTACCTATTCTAGAATTTTCTGGTTTCACTTCTAATTGTAATTTTCATTTAAATACAGAATATGTATGTGAAATAGAATGCAGCAAAAATCAAGATGGGGTAATTTTAAAATATATTACCTAAACAAAAATTATCTGATAGCATGAGACAATTATGGTATTCTTCCATTAAGAAAGCAACCAAGCAAAGGAGTTACGCATATACTGATCACTTATCAATCACATATTTATTATCATCAAAGAATTAATTTAATATTACAAATCCAATAAAAAAGCTATTTTCTCATCAGGGAGAGGAAGGGCCAAATCAATGCATTAAAGTATAAATAAAATATAGTTTCCCATTGAAATAAATGGGGTCCAAGTTCAGAGAGTTCACCAAAACTACACATCCAATCAAAGCATTTATTTGTTTATTTATTTACTGCTTGCTTGCTTGCAATGCTGGGGTTTGAACTCAAGGCCTACGCCTTGAGTCACTCCATCAGCCCTTTTTGGTGAAGGATTTTTTTTGAGATAGGGTCTCATGAACTATTTGCCTAGGCTGGCTTGGATCTATGATCCTCCTGATCTCTGCCTCCTGAGTAGCTAGGATTACAGGCATGACACACCTGGCTCAAAGCATGTATTAAATGAAGTTCAGGTAACAGAGCATGTCCATTAAAACAATTTAGGCAGAGAAACATTTAGTCAAATTAAAAACAAAAAGCCCTAAATTGTACATGTATATATTTAAAATCCATCTCGCAAATATTACTGGCCTTATTTTACATAATTCATTACAAAGGTGCCAAGTAAACCTAACATGTGAAAGTGAAGCATGGTGGTACATGCATTTAATCCTAGCACTTGGGAAGCAGAGGCAGGAGGATGACAAGATTGAGGCCAGCCTGGGCTACATGGTAATAGCCCAGCTCCGCAAAAAACCCAAATGCATGAAAATGAGATTTATAAAGCATATAATAAGAAGACTATTTGATTTATCCTCTGTTTTATAGGCACTTACTGGTCACAATGAAAGGCATGCTTGAACACTTACCTCATCATAATGACTCTTTGCAAATAGTAGTGCACACAGCTCTCCATACAGTGCAGCTTTGTTTGCTTGCTGGCCATGTTTTGACAGTTTGTCCATGTATGTCTGAGCTAACTTAAATGTTTCCTCACCCAAATGATATTTGCAGTTTCCATTTCGTACATGAAGCAACCTGCAAAAGACAAGTAACCGTCTTTTATTTCTGATACTTCCAGCATGGTGGATATGATAATCTCTTACAATAACTCTGCCTAAGTGACAATATAATTCAATGCAAAAAATGAGGCCACATTACAAAAAATTCTGGTCCAAATTGGAATTGATTATGCCCACCAGGAAGTATAGTACATGGCCTGCCAAGAAAGCTTCTCATGATTAATCTCATCCACTTTTGATTCCTTGTCTACTTTTATATTTTTTTGGGTACTCTACATGTGCCACTGTGGAGGTGGAAGGAGGAGGATCATGATTTTTGAGACTAGCCTGCTTACACAGTAACATCAAGAACCCATTCTTTTTGTTCTAAATTCAAAACCAATATATTTTCAATATAAGAATTCTAGAAAATAAAAATCAGCCTGAAACAGTATTATCCACCACTGCCTACCATTCTTGTTCTTAGTGTATTTGTGCAACACAACACTGGATCTGTTAACAGTGATTTTACAATGCTTCAATAATGCTAATTTTTGCTCATTTTTCTTTTCTCTCTCTCTTTTTTTAAATGTTGTACTGGGGTTTGAACGTTGGGCCTGACACTTGCTGGGCAGGTGCTCTATCACTTGAGCCTTTAGTTTTTCTCTAAGATAAGTTCCCTGAAAAAAGTAGTAGTGTCAGGTATTTCTCTTATAACTTTTATTCTCTATGGAGAAAAATACAGAGATCTTTATGCAAAGTAAATGTATTGCCATGTTAATGATTTAATGATATGCAAGAGCAGTAAAATGCTTTAGATCAGACTAAAGTCTACATAGTAACAAAACATACATCTACACAGATGATACTAAACAGAACAGTGTTAGAAATGGACAAATATTACCTATTGTAATGTAGGCTTCGATATCACATTAAATATTAGGTTAATACAGTTTTTTGAAAATACTTTACCCTGACAGGGAACAAATATATAAAAGACATGTAAAGACAAAGCAGGGCTGAAGTGCAGCTTAAGTGGTAGAGTGCCTGCCTCGCAAGTGAGAAGCACTGAGTTCAAACTCCAGTACTGACCAAAAAAGAAAGAGAAAATCAACAGAAACTTAAAATTTATCTTTTCTGGTTATACCAAAAATATCAACAGGTCAATAATCCAAAATGATAAAAAATTCAAGCAAACTTTTAATCTTTAAAAACAGAAGAGTAACTTCACTCTAGAATGGTGGGTAACATGACTGTATATTTTTAGTAGCAGAAATGGAAAAACTGTGTTTTAGACTACAGACTTATCATGATAAGTGTCCTGATAAACAATGTAATTTGACTGTCAAATTGTTAGTTAGATGATCAAACAGTAGTATGTAATGATCCTTTGTCAAAACTGAAAATAAACTGTACACAGGAAAACAGAACTGAAATTTAGGAAAACAGTTAAAAAATAAGGTATTTCAGATGATAATGTTTTGAAATAATCTCACATTCAAGTACCTATGAGTACTATTACATGCCAGTCAGTTTTCTAGATGCAAAGATATAGTGCGCTTGCCTTCTAGTGGGGAGAAAGGTGGTAGGATAGGTAGACACACAAATAATACTATTATTTCAGGATAAATGCTATGATGACAATAAAAATAAGAGTATTATGAAGCTTCCCCTCCACCCCAATGGTGCTGGGGATTAAACCCAGAGCCTCCCACATACCAAGCAAGGGCTCTCTCACTGAGCTACATTCACAATCCTGAACAAAAGCTTTAGTTTTTTGTTTGTTTTTTGGTGGTACTGAGGTTTCAATTCATTGCTCTGTGTTTGCTAGGCAAGTGCTCTACCATATAAAAGCTTCTTAAAGGATGTACTTAGAGTAGACTGGGAAGAGGCTTCCCAATAAGGTAATATTTGAATTCACACCAAATGGTAACAAGGCAGCTATGTAACTATCTTGGGGAATCACGTTCCAAACAGAATAGCAAGTGCAAAAGTCCTGAGAAAGGCAAGGAGTACTGTATGTTTTTAAAATAAAACAGAAAGGCAGCCAACTTACCAGGAACGTACTGAATAAAGCAAAATGAGAAAGGGAAAGGAGAAAAGAGAGAGAACCAAGATTTTGTTGGGCCATGCTGGCTGGCCATGGAAAGAAATATTGATGTAATAGTCAGTGACTAAATTTGAGTTCTACTTAACAGAAATTTTCTGAGCTGTAAGAAATGTTAAGAGAGCTGGATGCAGTGCAAGCCAGCATTCAGGATGTTGAAGTAGGAAGATCATGAGCCTGCAGACAGCCAGGGCTACATAGTGAGACCCTGCCTTTAAAAAACTGTTCAACTTGTGCTGCTCAATATAGTACCAACTAGCCACAAGTGACTACTGAGTATCAGAAATGTACCTAGTATGAATCAGAACTGATTTCTAAATTTTAAGTAATTTAACTTTAATTAACTAAAATGTAAACAGTCATACATGGCTAATGACTACCATATGGGACAGTGCAACTCTAGAAAGATTGTTCTAACAGCAGTGTGGAGAGTACATTATAGAAAAGCCAAGAGTAGAAGCAAAGCAATCAAGACAGAAGACATTAAAACAACCAGAATAAAAAAAATTTTTCCCTTGAGAAAAAAACAAGGATTAGTCTTAGAAGAAATACAGATTTGAATGAGAAAAAGGAGAAACTTAGGTACAGGTTGTAAATTTACAGAGTGCTTATTTAGAACAGTGCTTACTTCTCATTTCCACAATGCTAAGAATTGCATTTCCAATGATCTTCACTGCAATTATTCCCTTAAAATAATAACTTCTGGACATTATTTTGCAACTAGCACATAACAAGGTAACAAACTAAACAATTTATGCCAAAGAGGCACAGCCTGATATTTTCTCCAGTCCCAACAGGTTTTCAATTGAAACAAAAGAGCAAATTAAACATATAGAGACTTAGGGTCTGTGTGTGTCCATCTGGGCTGACAATAAGCAGGATCAAGATCCCCAAGGGACTTTTGGTCCAGCTGATAGTCTAGTTTTGTCTCAAAATTTAGCCTAAGGAAAGGCATGTAGTCAAGGTTCTCCAAATGTAGTAGGATCTTATTTTCATGAAAACACAAAATCACATCCACCTGATCAACAGTTATTTAATTATGTTTAACTGGTTAAACTGTTCATAGTTTGAAATATAAAATATACAAATTTAGAAGTCATTAAAATTTTGAATATTATAAGACTGAAAAAGATGACTAGTTAGGTGTGCATCAGACAGGTATGACAAAAATAAAATATGCTGAAAGCAAACCTAAAAGGAAAGAATCTCTCTCCTTTTTTACAAGTGCCTTTTTCTAACAAGTGGAAAAATTTGGAAATAAAGGCCTTTGGGCATTGTTCAGTGGTACAGTGAGTGGTTAACTGCTTGAGGTCCTGGGTTCAATCCCCAGCAACAAAAAACAAAAAATTTTTTGGAAATTAAGGATAGATTGAATGGAGAGGGTTGCAGAATGAAAATAAAGATTGGTATGAGTTTAATTTTATATTTTATTATGGTGAAATATATGGAACATTTGCTATATCGAACATTTTTATGTGTACAATTCAGTGACATTAATTATACTTACATTATACAACCGTTACCACCATCCATTCCCAAAGTTTTTCATCACTCCAAACAGAAACTCTGTTACCATTAAGCAATAGTTTCCTACTCTCTTTTATGCACTAACCCTGGTAACTTTTAATCTACTTTATGTCTCTACAAATATGCCTATTCTAGATATTTTATATAAGTAGAATCATACAGTGTTTATCCCTTTGTACCTTACCTATTTCATAGGATGAAATTTTCAAGGTTCATTCACATTGCAGCATACATTAAAACTGGCTGAATAATTTAATCTATACATATACGTTTACCTATTCATCTGTGGATAGATACTTGAATTGTTTCCACCTTTTGGCTGTTTGTTGTGAGCACAGGCACACAAATCTGATTCTCTGTTTCCAATTCTTTTGTGTATATACCTTGGAAAGAAATTGCTGGGTCACATGGTAAATCTATGTTTAGCTTTTTGAGCAGCTGCCAAATTGTATTCCACTGCAGCTGCATCATTTTATTCACACATAATAGGAAAGACTTAGTAAGGCAACTTTACAAAGCAATGATGTTCAGGGGAAAAACAACAAAACAACTTTATCTTACATTTGAGAACAAGCTGTAGCTGAGAATTTCAGTTTCATATTATTTCTAAAATTTCCCTTTTATCTCCAGTTTGAAAAAAAATCCTTAATGTTCTATCATATATATATATACATATATATATATACACACACACATATATATATACACACATATATATATATACACACATATGTATATGATTATAGGCATGCACCACCACACCCAGTTAGAAATGAAAAGTAAGCACTCTCTTTCCCATCCTGGGAAGAACAAAGGCAATTTCTGCTTTCTTCTCTGACCTCAACCATGCTCATGTGGACTGATAAACTCCAGATAAAAAGATGGAAAGGGGATCAAGTAAGTTTTAGGTTGTAAATCTTCCAAAAATGCACCACTACAGTTGGGCCTCCATATCTAGCAGTACTGTGGATCAAAACTATTTTTTTTTAGAAAAAAATGGGTCTATACTGGATAGGTACAAACTTTTTTTCCCTTGCCATTATTTCCTAAACAAAACAGTATTTACAGAGCACTTACACTGTATTAAGTACTACAGGTGATCTACAATGGCTTACACTACATGGAGGATGTGCCTATGTAATATGCAAATACCATTACATTTTATGTGAAGGACTGAATGTTACAGATTGTGATATACCCTGGGGATCCTAAGAACCAATAGTTCATGGATACTGAGGAATGACTGTACGTAACTGTGGTTATTTCTGGGCAGTAATGTTACATCTAGCATTTATTTTCTTCATAGTTTTCTGACTTTTTGGCAACAGATATGTATAAGCAGAAAACACAAAGCTACTAAACAGAAAATGAGTAAAAGGAAATGTGTAAAATTCCCAAGGAATAAAAAAGAACTAATAATAGTACCAGGCTTAACTACAGAAAGGCCAAGAAGACTCTCTGACATTTGCTCTGTTTTAATGCTAACACCAGATCAGAAACTGGCTTTGTGATATTAAACCAAAGAATGCACTCTTATTCTTCTATCAGGCTCAAAGCCCTTGGGATTGACCAAAAGGGTTTCATTAGCATCTGTTCTGCAAAATATTTCTTTTCCATTTCAACCACACATGATCAATGAATACACCAAATTTCCTTCTGCCTTAAATGTTAGAAAAATTTGATTTTTTCGAATAACAAATATAATTATAATTACATATAAATTATATTAAATGTACTTACAATGACCAAGAATTTGGAAAGTATAGATGTGCAGTGTTAAATTTTATTTTGAAACTTCAAACTCATAAATTATTTTGTCTTAGTATGCAAATAGTAAGCAGGTATTGAAATTGGCTTTGCTTCTTCATCGTCAATACTCTAACTTTATGCTCATTCCAAAGACAGGTTATTTACTGTACTGGTAGTTACCTATTCAATATTCCCTTCCCTTTCTTCCTTACTATATATCCCTGATACATTATATATTCAGGGTAGTAATATACAAAATTAAAATGTTTTGCTTCCTTAAAACAAACATCTCACATGGGTTGGGAGGATATAGAGATAGGAGTAGGCTTAGGGGAAAGCTACTTTTTTTTCTGATTTCAAAAAGAAAAGAAGAAGAAAAAGACTGAGTTTGCCTAAGTCTTTTGCCTTTCCTCTTTCTCTCTGCATGTAACACTTGCAACCCTCAGGTTGTGAGCTAACTTGCTAAAGATGACAAATTAGATCATTTTGTTCTGCTTTATGGCTCACAAATATGCTGCATGTCTCAACTGCCATAAAACAATTTTAAACATTAGATGGGAAAGGGATTCCAAGATGGTGGCTAGGGGGAGGAAGCAGAAAGAGTTACTCCAGAGGCACCTGCACACCCATGTTTATTGCGGCACTATTCACAATAGCCAAGTTATGGAAACAGCCAAGATGCCCCACCACCGATGAATGGATTAAAAAAATGTGGTATTTATACACAATGGAATTTTATGCAGCCATGAAGAAGAACGAAATGTTATCATTCGCTGGTAAATGGATGGAATTGGAGAACATCATTCTGAGTGAGGTTAGCCTGGCCCAAAAGACCAAAAATCGTATGTTCTCCCTCATATGCGGACATTAGATCAAGGGCAAACACAAGGGGATTGGACTTTGAGCACATGATAAAAGCGAGAGCACACAAGGGAGGAGTGAGGATAGGTAAGACACCTAAAAAATTAGCTAGCATTTGTTGCCCTTAACGCAGAGAAACTAAAGCAGATACCTTAAAAGCAACTGAGGCCAATAGGAGAAGGGGACCAGGAACTACAGAAAAGGTGAGATCAAAAAGAATTAACCTAGAAGGTAACACACACTCACAGGAAATTAATGTGAGTCAACTCCCTGTATAGCTATCCTTATCTCAACCAGCAAAAATACTTGTTCCTTCCTATTATTGCTTATACTCTCTCTTCAACAAAATTCGAGATAAGGGCAAAATAGTTTCTGCTGGGTATTGAGGGGGTTGGGGGAGAGGGAGGGGTCAGAGTGGGTGGTAAGGGAGGGGGTGGGGGCAGGGAGGAGAAATGACCCAAGCCTTGTATGCACATATGAATAATAAAACAATTAAAAAAAAAAGTGAGAGCACACAAGGGAGGTATGAGGATAGGTAAGACACCTAAAAAACTAGATAGCATTTGTTGCCCTCAACGCAGAGAAACTAAAGGAGATACTTTAAAGCAATGAGACCAATAGGAGAAGGGGACCAGGAACTAGAGAAAAGGTTTGATCAAGAAGAACTAACTTAGAAGGTAACACACATGTACAGGAAAGTAATGAGAGTCAACTCCCTGTATAGCTATCCTTATCTCAAGTAGCAAAAACCCCTGATCTTCCTATTAGTGCTTATACTCTTTCTTCAACAAAATTAGAGATAAGGGCAAAATAGTTTCTGCCAGGTAGGGAGGGGGTAGTGGGGAAGAGGGAGGGGGCGGAGTAGGTGGTAAGGGAGGGGGTGGGGGAAGAGGGGAGAAATGACGCAAACATTGTATGCACATATGAATAAAATTAAAATTAAAATGGGAGGGAGGGAGGGAGGGAGGAAGGAAGGAAGGAAGGAAAGATGACAAATTAGGAAGGACAGAAATGCCCTGGTTCTGTGAGAAAATAAAACCTTTGGGTTAGGCTAAAACAAAATTTATATAGAAGCCTTAAAATTAGACAGAAGCAGCATTAGGTATTAGGTATCTGGGTGAATAAAAATCAAGCACATATGAAAAAAAGGTTAATGTTTTTCCTGTTCTAAATAAACTAGTTCATGTATACAGAAAGGCTTAATTATCTAATTTCCCAATCATATATGGGATAGCCTACTATTTTACAAAGATAAAAAACAGGCAAAAGAGAGGTGGTAAGAGATTATTTTCATCAGTACTGCAAATTACAGGCCCAAATGCAAATCCCTTTATATAAATATATATTCCTACATATAAATTCTAAACTTCTGAAATTGTTTTTTAGACAGGGTCTTGCTATATAGCCCACGATGGCCTCAAATTTAAGATCCTCCTGCCTCTGCCTCTGCCTCCTCAGGGCTGGAATTACATGTGTGCACCACTATGTTCAACTTTAAGCTTCTAAAATATTTATAATAAATTTGCACATTACAAAATTAACTTCAGAATCTAAACATTTTTCTAACACAGGTAAGCCCTGTATAAAATAGGACATAAGAATCTGAAAAGACTGAAACCCAACTGGTAGAGGGAGAGGGAGAGAAGGGTTTATTCAATTTCAATTTACATCAACAACAGTTTTATAGAAGAATCTATACTCAAAAAGCTAAAGAGGGGTTTGGATTTAATTAACTTATCTAAAATACCTAGGAAACATGAACCTTAATTCTATAAAAACAGATGAATGCAAATTCAGTTAACTGCATTTAAGGCAAGCAATTTGTGTTTTACTTTCTACTTTATTTTTATAAAGAAAATTCTTAAGAAATGCCAAAACAGCTGGTATGGTGGTAAATGCCTGTAGCTCCACCTATTTGGGAGGCTGAGGCAGGAGAATCACCAGTTCTAGGCCCACTTGGACAATATAGGGAACACAAAAAAAATGCCAAATCAAACTGGGGGAAAAAAGAAAATCTACATGACAATAGCTAAAGGTAAATGTCACATGTATAGAAAAAACAGGGGCAATAAAAGCAGGAGAAATAAATAATAAAGCAGGATTTGCTTGCCTTTCCTTTAAGTACATCTATCACAAGAATAAGATAAATATCTTCAAGGAAAATATTTATAAGTAAAATACTAATCTTATGCACAATTAAGGAAATGTAAACAAAGAAAGGCTTAGGGGTAGGTGTTGGGGAGGGAGGTGGCACAAACAATGTATACACATGTAAGTAAATGTAAAAACGATAAAATAAAAGGAGAAAGGAAAAAAAAAGGCTTAAAAATGACAGTGAAGAAAAAAGTATATTTCTTTGTTCTCACTCTCTCTTTTTTTGAGGCAGTCTTGCTATATAGCTTAGGTTGCCCTTGAACTCACCATGTACCCTAGATGACCTTAAACTAGTGGTCTCCTACCTTAGCTTCCTGAGTGTTGGCATTACAGGCCTCTTCTACCATGTCAAGTTAAAAATGTGTATTTCTTGAATTTTCTAGCATCCACTGGTTAGCACAGTTCCTACCACATAAAAAGCATCTGATAAATGTTTGTTGTCAGGTGTGGTGGCACACCTCTGTAATTCCAATAAACCCAGCAGGTGGATTGTTGAGTTCAAGGCCAACCTTGGCTGCAAAGCTAAACCCTGCGTCAAAACACCAGTTGAAAAAGTACACAAATGCTAAGAAAAAGCAAAGATACACATTCTTATTCATAATACTAAAATCTAAACTAGTGAAGACGGCAGGTTAATTTATATTAGCTGGAAGACAAGAGGCCAGAGTAGTGAAACTGTGACATGGCCAGCTAGCAAGTGTAAAGCCTTGAGTTCAAATCCCAGTACTGTGGAAAAAAAAAAAGACATTTCAGACATTGAGTCAGGCTTTGGAGTACACACAGAGAGCTAAAATTACAAAAGCCAGTAAGTTCCACTATAGCACCTAATTATAAGAGCTGCTCCAACTTACCTCACACAACATTCCACTGCCCGAAACCAGTGAAGCATCTCATCATGCAGAGTACACAGCTGAAGGCAAGATAGAAAAACTTTCTCAGCATCACTGTACCAGCCTGCATCTGAAAGAAAGCCACCTGAAGAACAAAGAAAACCAGTAATGAGATAATTTAGCAAACTGTTTGAAAATTAAAAGTCACATGCATACAATGAATATTTTCTAAACAAAAAACTATATTTTGTGCTTATCTGAAAACATACTCTGGCTGGGGGTCAGCTCAGTGGTAAAGCATGTATGTAGCAGGCACCAGGGCCTGGATTTGAGCACCATCACCCAAACTAAAGATATTGTGAGATTATTATAAAAAGGTTTTGACAGTATCACCAAAAAATAAAAATAAATAAAAAGGCTTTGAACTAGGGGAATTAGGATCAAAGAGACCATAAATAACGGGTTAAGAGTTTTAACCCTCTAAGAATATCCCTTGGTCTAAGAGTTATAACTATACCATTACTGTGTTCTTGAGGTATACACATAACTATTAATCTATGCCCTGTAGCAAAGAAGAAAATGAAATCTGAATAGACTTAGTTTAGCAGCATCACAGGATATGTATGTCAAAGGGATGGCAATGATGCTTGCTCATTTCTTTTTTTTTTTTTTTTGCAGTACTGTGGTTTGAACTCAGGGTCTACACCTTGAGCCACTCCACCAGCCCTTTTTTGTAATGATTTTTTTTTGAGATAGGGTCTCATGAACTATTTGCCTGCCTGGCTTCAAACTGTGATTCTCCTGATCTCTGCCCCCTGAGTAGCTAGGATTACAGGTGTGAGCCACCAGTGCCCAGCATTCATCTCATTTTTTAAACAAGAAACTGTATTACTGTCCTCAAAGAGTCCTAAGGTATTAGACACTGTTTCTCTGACTGTTGTTCATCTTTCTTGAGGATTTGTATATTTGTGTGGTGGGTGGGGAGACAGTATCTTGCTTAATTGCTCAGGCTGGGTTTGGACTTGTATTCCTCCTGCCTCTGCCTCCCAAGTAGCTGGGATGACAGGCACACACCACTATGCCTGACTTTTTTTTTGAGGATCTTAACCTCTAATAATGGCTAACACTTTTACTACAATGCACAAACTATTATGTAACCACTCCACGTGAATCCTCTCATTAATTTTCATAATACAACCAACTTAAATGCTATCTTTTATCACCCCAAATTAACAGATTAAAAACCGTGAGGCACAGAGAAACCAAAGCTTATAAGCTAACAAGTGGAAAGACTCAAATCCTTATAATCTGACTTCTGAGCTTCCAAGGCTTCATCTGTATCTGCTATTATCAGGAGCACTTTCATTGTGCTATACAAGATTAATTATAGGAAAAACAGAAAGTAATATACTGTGCTTTTTTCAGTTCTATAACTTATTTTATGCACATTTTTAAATGTGTGAAATTAGGATATATTATGAAGCTAATAATGTCTTACATTAATTGGCAGCATTTTTTTCCTTGGTAGCACAAAAAATATAGTTGTGTCTTAGTAGTATCAATAATGTCTGAGCCTGAACAAAATATCGTATTTTGCTCAGACTGATGTTTTATGTTTACCTAGATGTAATTAAATAAATACTAATTTGTTAATGGGCGAGAACCATGCTTCAGAACAGTCTGGGACACTCTCCAAGAGAAAAAAATGAGGTTATTATGTATATTTGTGCTAAGCAACCTTCTACTTATCACTCCAATATATTATATGATGTGTTGGTTATTAGGCTGTCTCTCAGCTTCAAACCTATCCTTCTAGACTCTACTTCAAGATGCAGACACAGTATTCTGCAAAACGCGTTTCTCCTGTGCCATCAAGGCTCCATGTTAGGCTCTGCCATGAGGAAGTGCTAGAGGGAGGACCTGCAAGACTGGAAGAGCAAGGGACACTCCTTCTTATTGCTGACAGAACACCCCTGGGTATGTTTCTTTACTCTGACAGTGAGTTCATTCCAGTAAGCAAGTCAATTCCAGCTGCAGTTTTCCAAGACTTGCAAAACCAGACTCACAGCACCCTGTCAGCAACACCAGCAATAGCTACCCAGTTGTTAGCTCTTAGACCTCCTTTTCATGGACTCCCTTCAGGGCTCTGGGGCACTGAATACAGCAGTGCTCCCTCTCTGGCTTTTTGTGTTAACACTTGGATAAAAATTTGTTACATAAAATTTCAACTCTATAACATGGGTGGCCCTTGAAAATGCTATGCTAAATGAAAGAAGCTATTCACTTATTTTGTGAGTCTATTTATATGAAATAGGTAAATCTATAGAAACAGAAAGTAGACTAATGGTTGCCTGGGGTGGGAGGGAAATGAAGAATGACTGCTAACACAAATGGGGTTTCTTTTGGGTGTGATGACAATGTTCTAAATCATGTGTGCAAAAATCTGTGACTACACACTAAACAACAAAATTCTGTGAATGTACTAAAAAACACTGAATTGTATACCTTATGTGGGTGAGTTGTATAAGTGAATTTTATCTGTTTAAAGCTGTTATTTCAAAACAATATTTCTAGCACTGTATACTTCAGTATGAAATTTCTTCACTCTGGATGATTTCAGGATCCGTACTGATAATATGGGTTTGCTAGGACTTGGTATTTACCTATAAGATATCCATCTAATTCATTAAATGAGACCTTTAGTGTATGTGGAGATGACAGAATATCTCAATGAACACTAGCTTTCCCATCTTCCAACTTACTTGATAATAAATTTCTCCAACACAGATTTTTATATGACTATCAGGAACTAAAGAAACATCATCATTAATATTAATACAGCTCACAAACAGCCTATTTTCAGAGACATTGTTTGGACAATTCTTTGTTGCAATGTATATTCTACCATTAAAAGATAAATGCCAAGAGTTCTGTTTTAGAAAATAATATTTTGAAGTTCCTCCAGCTAACTGTCTTTAACTACTACAGAGAATTGTTCTACGTCTGAAGGAAATAATATTGAAAACTTGGCAAAAATGTGCACGTGTGCGAGAGAGAACACACACATACACACATTAACTGAGAAGCTAAATAAAAGAGAGTCTATGATGATAGAATACTGTGTCCTGATAACAAAGGCAGTATGAGTTTTTATAATGAACCAACTGCGCACACACACACAAATGAATGCATGTGAGAAATGGTGACAACTAGTGAGGTATATAGTCTACTTAACCGTGTAACACCAATGATCATTTCCTTATTTTGGTATTATACTACAGCTGAATATGTAATCACTGGAGGAAGCTGAAGGACTTAGGTTCCAAGAACTCTAAGTATTCTTTTGCAACTTTCTGTGACTGTACAATCATTTAAAATTTAGACAGTAACAACTTTAATAAACAATTGCCTGAAATATACATAAACACATCTGTGAAAACTGTGTCAAATGCTGTACAAATATCAACCATCTTTCTGTATGTATACCATATATAGAGAAATGTTTTACATTTATGTTTTCACTATCCTCACAACTCCATGAAAAAGTTAAAAATAACCGTCATTTTAGAGATGGGAAGAATGAGGACCCAAGAATATTAAGTCCCATGCCACAGCACATAGTAGGCAAGTGAAAGAATTTGGTGTCAGCATAATATGACAGAAAGAGACGTGCTTTGAAATAATAGAGACACAATATTCTAAACTTAGTTTATTACAAGGTATGTGACTTGATCCAGTTACTCAAGTTTTCAGAATCTACTTCCTCATACGTAAAATGCTATAAATACTATTAGTTCACTGGAATGCCATGAGGACTAGGAAGATATCACTTAAATACCTAGTACAGTGCTTAGCAAAGATTTAATGCTCAATAAATCACACGTAGTTCTGATAGTTTCCTCATAAGCCTCCTACACACACTCTGGCAAACTCCTGGAGGAATTCTTTATTGTTAGCAGCTTAATTATGAGTCCATCACAGTATAAAACTTCTATTTTACCATTACTTACCTAAAACAAAGCCAACCTGAATAGCTTTTTCCTTTACTGCAGCATCTGATTCTGCTATATATGAGCACCGTCTACTGAATGAGTATGCCAAAACTGAAGCAACTTTAACACCATGATCCATCAAAGCCTGAAAACAATGATGAAGCAAATGTCTGAAAGAGAGGAAAAGATTTTATAGAGGTTAACTTTGTTTGTCTGGAAAGCTAGCTGCTCCTCTATTAAATAAAAACACCATTACTTTCCAAGATGGAATAAGATGAAAAAAAAATCATGCCTTATAAATTACAAGGCTACAGTAATTCAAAACTTATTCTGGTATCTTTACTCAGTGGATCACTGAACTTGATGGTGATAAAGGATGAGGCTAACTTTCAAATCAGCTTTAAAAATTAATTACATATATATATATATATATAATTTTTTTTTTTTTGGCAGCACTGGAGCTTGAACTCAGGGCCTTACACTTCCTAAGCAGGTGCTCTTATCACTTCAGCCATTCTGTCATTATTATGGGTTTTTCAACATAGAGTCTCAGTAACTATTTGCCTGGGGCTGGCATTGAACCTCAATCCTCCTGATCTCTGCATCCTGTGTAGCTAGGATTACAGGCATGAGCCACCAGTGCCTGGCAAAAATTAATTATAATTTTTCACTTATAAAATATAAAAATTAATTATAGGTCCAATAATAAAAAGATAACCCAAGCCAGATGTGGTAACTCATGCTTGTAATCCAAGCTTTTCAGGAGGCAGAGACAGGATGGATCATGGTTTGAGGCCAGCCCTGGCAAAAAGTTCATGAAACTTTATTTCAACAAAATTAGCTGGGTATGGTGTACATGCCTAACATCCCAACTATGTGGGAAGCATAAATAGGAGGATCATGGCCCAGGCTGATTCAGACATTAATCTAAGACCTTCTCCCCAAAATAACTAAAGCAAAAAAGGTTGGGGGCATGGTTCAAGTGGTAGAATTCCTATCTAATAAGCATGAGGCCCCGGCTTCAACCAAGAAAAAAAGGCAACCCAATTAAAACTGGGCAACAGATTTGAATAGAAATTTCTCCAAAAAAATATACCAACAGTCAATAAGCACAAGATTGTTTTATATCATTAGTGATTGGGGAAATGTAAATCAAAATCACAATGGGATAAAACTTTGTACTCAATAGAATGGCTACAATAATTTTTAAGAAAAGTATTGTCAAGGTGTGAAAAAATTGGAACCGTTAGACATTGGTAAAAGGAATGTAAGATGGCATGCCTGCTGTGAAAATCAGTTCAGCAGTTCCCAAAAAAAAAGCTAAGCACAGGGTAATTATATCTATACACCCTAAATATGTAATTAAGAGAATTCAGAATTCCACACAAAATCTTGCCCATCTTCATTCATACAGCATTACTCATTACCGTCAAAAGGTAGAAACTCAAATGTTCATCAATGTTCATCAACAAATGACTGGATAAATAAAACCCAATTATTATCCTTACAATGGAGAATTATTAGCCATAAAAAAGGAAAGCAGTACTGACATTACCATCTTTGAAAACATTATGCTAAGTGAAAGGTTCAAAAACACCATATATTGTATGATTCCATTTACAAGACATACCTAGAATAGGCAAATACATAAAGATTAATGATCAGCCAGGGTTTGAACTCAGAACCTTGTGCTTGCCAAGCAGGCACTCTGCCATTTGAGCCACACCTCCACCCCAGAGGTTTTTTTTGAAGTGATGAAATGTTCTATAATTAGATAATAGTGATGGTTGCAAAATCTTATGAATATATAAAAGCCACCAAATGATACAATTTAAGATGGAAATTTTATGGTATGAGAATATATCTCAAGTCTAAAAAGTCTTAAAAAATTGTAAGTAATAGAGTCACTTTTGTATAAAGGAAAAAAAGATCTAATTACATGCTTTTTAGTTTCACAAATATATAAAACACTTACCAAAGGATTTGGACTTGGTGAAAAATAATCTAAGCTAGGTATTCCACTATATCTTTACAAAGTCCATGATATCAAATCCAAAAAAAGTTAACTTTTCCTTAAATCTATTTTTAAATTTTGTTCTCATTTTTATTTTATTTGTACTGGTGATTATTAAATCCAGGGCCTCATGCTTGCAAGGCAAATGCTCTTATCACTGCATTATGTTCCTAACTCCAAAGAATGTCCTTAAAATATTTTCTACAGTCTTTTACTAAAATTGAGAAGTTCTCACCTACTATCTTTTATAAATCTTTTATATACCAATTTTAATTAATCAAATAACCAAAACGTTTCTAATTTTAGAACAGGTCACATTTCAAAGTTGAATACTGAAATCATTTTACGTATTTACTTCTTACCATTCCTCTGTAAAATATAGACTTCATGAAGAAGGGACCTTGGAGTTCTTATTCACTGCTGTATTTTCAGCATCTAGAACAGTACCTGGCATATACTAGACATTCAACAACTGTTTATATAATTTGTTGAAAAAAATGAAACAACTTGGTAATACTCATAATAGAGATCAACAGTATTTTGTGAAATTGTATTTTTGTTTTCTTAGAAATGTGGGTTAGAAAAAAGAAGAAGCAGTTAAAGCAAATTTAGGGAAGAATGTTAAAGAGAACAGCACATACAATCAAAGTCAGATCATCGCTCTGTGGCTCCTACTTCAAAATACCTCCTATACTGGGGAAGATGAATTCAGTCTTTCTTCAACTCAAAAAGCTAAACTGCAAGAATATTAACTTTCCAAAGGGAATGGAGGCAGGTGGAACAAATCCTCTACTCTTTGTCACCAAGTTTGTGTGGACTGTGTAATTACTGTGACAGTATTTTTACTATATTCTGTATTGTGCTAGCTAATACTTCTTAAGTTATTATTCTTAAATTGTTTTCAAATTGTACTTCTAGATATATATTATATGTATATAAAAATGAAATACACTTCTAGGAATAAATCTAATAGATATGGATACATATGTTCAACAAAAAGCATGTAACAAGGATAATCACATCAGCACTATTTGTAATAGCTAAAACTGTTAACAGCACAAGTGTCCATCAATAACAGAAAGAAAAATGATATACAATGGAACGCTGTACCTATTCAGCAATGAGAAGGAATAAACTAAACAAGATAGGTGACTCAAATACAGAACACTGAGCAAAACATGGTGGAGCATGCCTGTAAACCTAGCTTCTCAGGAGGCTGAGGCAGGAGGATTGCAAGCTCAAGGCCAGCCAGGGCAACTTAGAATGGCCCTGTTTCAAAATAAAGAAAAAAAGGGCTGATGATGTAACTCAGAGGTAGAACACTTGTCTAGCATACCTGAGGCCTTAGGCTTGATTCATACCTCAAAAATAATCACAAAATTGGGGGGGGAGGGAGCGGAAATGCAGACACAAAAGGACACTACTATGTTAAGTCTATCTAAAACAGGCAAAATGAGCCTCGTGGTTCCCCAGGGAGAAGGTAAAGTGACTAGAAAAAAGTAGGACAGAGCTCCTGGGGTTTAGGTGACAAATGCAAATAAATGAACAAAATAATACCAGAAAAATGGATAAACTAATTTGAGACAATTTCTCAATAAAACAATTTTATAAGATGTATATTGGCACTGCACTCATAAAGGCAAGATTATTTTATCTAAGATTTTTGATATGATTGTATTTAAAAAATACTTTCCAAATACATAAGGAACTAGTGAAAAATAATGGTTCTTAAAACGAGTTTATGGAAAATAATATGACAGTTACTCCAAAAATTAAGAACAAGCTGGGTGCAGTGGCTCACGCCTATAATCCTAGCTATTTGGGAGGCTGAGATCGGGAGGACAGGCAAACAGTTCACAAGACTTCATATCAAAAAAACAAGAACAAAATGGGCTGAGATGTGGCTCAGGTAGTAGAGAACCTGCTTTGCAAGCACAAAGTCCTGAGTTCAAACCCCAGTCCCTCACACACACACACAAAAATTAAAATCAAAATTAGCATAAAATGGTATATAACCCAAAAAACTGAAAGCAGAGATTCAAAGGATTAATTGTACACCCATGTTCACAAAAGTATTTTTGTACTCATCAAAAGCTGGAAACATAGCAAATGCCCATCAACAGGGCAGGGTCTGGCTTCACCGCTGTGTCCAGGGCAGGGACCCAGGTGGCGGAGCCCACAAGCCATGACCTCCTCACCAAGTGGTTCCTGGAGTTCCTGCAATCCACTGTGCAACAGCTCGAGTCCCATGTCCACACCATCAGGGAGAGCCAGGTAAAGTTCCGGGAACAAATTGACAAACTAGCTATAGAACTGTGCCAAATCAGTGAGGATCAGAAGGATCTTTACCCCTTTGTTAAGAAGCAGAATGAGCAGGTAAAAGAAAAAAAAATTCCTAACACCAAGAAAAAAAGCCCATCAACAGATAAATGGATAAACAAAATGTGATATACGCATACAAATGGGATATTATCCACCTTTTAAAAATGAAATTCTGACACATGCTACTACATAAACCTTAAAAACATTATTAACTGAAATAAAACAAACACAAAAGGACAAATATTATAGGATTCCATTTACATGGGGTACCTAGACTAGTCAAACTCAAACACAAAGTAGAATGGTGGTTGTGATGGCTGAGGGGAAGAGGAAATGGGAAGTTACTATTTAATGGGTACAGAGTTTTTCTTTGGGATGGAAAAATCATTTTGAAAATGGATAGTGTTGACGGCTGCAGACCAAAGTTAATACTTAATGTCACTGAATTATATACTTAAAAGTGGTTAAAATGGTAAATTTTATGTAACATAAATTTTATCACATTTAAAAAGAAAAATTTACTACCGGATATGGTGTCTTACATCTTATAGTGCCAGCTACTTGGGACGCTATGACAGGATTGTTTGAGCCAAAGAGTTCTAGGCCAGGGGTGGCAGAGTGGCTCAAGTGGTAGAGAGCCTGCCTAGTAAGCATGAGGCCCTGAGTTCAACCCCCAGTACCGCCAAAAAAATAAAAAAGAGGGAGAGACACTGTTTCAGAAAGCAAACACACACACACACAGAGGAATTTACCTTTTATCCAAAGCTCTCAATACTTTAGCAAAAACTTCCAATTCACAAAATTCACTGCCCAGTTGACATAAACGTCCCTGTTGGTAAAGCTGGAATAAAAGAAGAAAAATGATGATTTTAAATTGAATTTCTACTTTAATTATATTTGATGTATAACTGATTTACTATTTGACGATTTTAGTAAACATGACTCAATGTCAATAAATTATATAATATCAGAAAAGGTAGGAAGAGAAATGTAACAAATTTCTACAACTCATATACTCATATAAAAACTCTTGGGCCAATATTCAGAAAACAGAGCTGGGACCTTCAGACATCTCAAGAACCTCAGCTCAGTTCTGGACAGGGTATTTTACAAGCACTCTAGAATTAGAGCATGTCTACAGTAATCCAGGATGGCAAGAGTTCTAACAATATCATAATCATTTATTTATACATTCTGACTTGTTAGATCTGTTATTTAAAAGAACATTGTAATAAATGTGTTAAAATATTTATCGTCATACATGTACATGGTTACTAAATAATTTTGAGTTTACATATGCTATATAAATAACACAATGCATTAAAAGGCAGGTATTGTTAATTTTTTTTTCACTTTATATTACAGGCATTTAATACTTAGCTCAGATGATGAGAACATGGGTTTCAAAAAAGAAGATATGGTCTAGAGTTCATTCTCCAAATGGGACAGTTGGCACACTCTTGGGCAAAAACCATTAGCAACACAGAGGCCAGGTCAAATAGGGCACACACAGTGCTGGAGATGTAGCTCAGTGGTACAGTATGGGCCAGGCCCTCAGTTTGCTCCAGAATGGAAAAAAATTAAGAAATAAAAAAGAATTTATTTATAAAAAATAAGAAATAAAAATGAAAGAAGTATTAATGCAAATCTGTAATGGCTGCTTGAGGGGAGAGGGGACACATGCTAAGGAAGGGGAGGAAGAAATGTTATCTTCACAGAATGGCTGACATTAATTCGTATTAACATTAAAACCTTCATAAGGAAAGATCTGCTGTTCCTGGAAATGACTATTTTCTACTGTAGAACAGTAAAAGCTCCTGGGAACATATACAGTAAAAGTCATCACTACTACCTCCTGCCTTCCAGCCTGCTCACCTGCTCTCTCCTGCCCTCCCCTCCCAGTGGGCACCATGGTCCTGAACCTCTCCACCTTGTATGCCCTGGCTGTGGCTTTTCCCACATTGCCCCCAGCTCCTCTAGACTCAGCCAGTGAGTCAGAATTAAATGGTGAGCCATAGTTAACAGCCGATGTGGGGAGCACCTCTGAAGAGGACTTAACCACTTCTCTAGAGGAGCCATGAACTGAGATTCAACCACTGACCTACAGTAGGCTGCAAACCCAGAGACGACCATGGATGTGTGTGTGTGACACTCTTTTGAATTCTCTACGGATGTCAAGATGGCCACCACCAGCTTTGCACATGAAGCTAGACCAGATCAGCACCTCGATGGGAATCAATGAGTCCACAGCAGTGTATCTTTAAAATGAACTAAAGTCTCCATAGCACTGTGCTATCTACCACTTTCTGAGAAGTCTCAAACTTTTGAAAAAGCTTATCACTACACTGAGTGTTGTGTGTAACTGTAGAACACAAGTGAAATGCAGGCACACCTAGCTGAAGAGAAACAGCAAGGCAATGATTCTGGAAGGGCACTGTGACTTATACACAGATGAGAGAGGGTCATTTCACAGCTCTGCCCCATTTTTATGGGCTTAATAAATATTCATCGACTGAAAAGAATTTCATTACTACTAATCATTGTCATATTTACTTGACTACTAGCCATTACAGAATAACTCAGGGAAACTAAAACTGAGAATTTACGACCAAATTCCTATTGTAGCCCAAGCAATGTGATGAACATCTGATGTGAAGCAGAATCGTAAGTGCACTTACCAAGATAAACAGACACACATACTCTGAAAGCACTAACATAAAGACTTTAGCTTTTTACCAAAATAAGTGACTCATTAACAAATTTTAGAATTAGAATTTCTTTTAGAAGATAGAAGAAGTAAAAACAGGTTATACAGCTTTTTTGCCTATACTCACTAGTTGAATAAAAACAAATTCATTTTACGTGTTCCATAACTCACACTATCCCTTTAATGACTGAAAAAATGGTACACCAGAGTTTAGCAAAGTTGTTTCATTAGTTACAGTTTGAAAATATACCCTATGACAAACACCAGCAATTTTTTAAATACTGAGATGCTTAACTTTTCTAGATAAAAGTGAGTTCACATTTAAATTGTGGAAAGAAGGTAATGATTTAATAGTTTCATTAAATTTTGTTTTTCCTTACCAAGTTTATCCAAAAATGAAAATTATATAAATAAAGGAGCTTTTGGATACCAATTTGGAATAAAAGTAGCATCTAATCCTAAAGAGATCTTATGAGCCAAGCACTGTTCTCAATACTTTTCATAAATAATCCACTTTATCCTTTTATAAATAAAAATGAGTAAACTGATGCATAACGGAGTTTAATAATTAATTATCTCAAAATCATGCAATTAGGAAAGAACAAAGCAGAAATCTGACCCCAGACAATCTGTCCTTACATCCATGTGTTCTTTTTTTTGTTTTGGGATCTTGCTACATAGCTCAGGTCTTAAACCTTTTGAGTGCCAGGACTGCAGGCATGTACCACCACACCTAATTTACATTCATGTTCTTAACAACTTACACTATACGACCTCTTGGAAGATAATACAAGAAGATAAGAAGCAAGGGCTTCCAGGAACTAAAGCAAAAATCTTGTAAAATAATTAAATTAGCTAGATATGGTGGTACACACTTATAATCCTAGGACTCAGGAATCAGACAGGAGGATCATGAATTCAAGGTTAGCCTGGACTACGTGAGTTTCAAGCTACTGTGAACTACATATTGAGATCCTCTCTCAAATAAATAAATAAATAAATGACAAAAAAGCAAAGCAAAACAAAATACTTAAAGGCAACTGTTGCCAAGGCAATGCAAGACAGTCCAAAACCCAGAGAACTCTTTGGTAAAGATGGGAACCTGGTTCCAAGGGGTTCACGCCTATAATCTTAGCTACTCAAGAGGCAGAGACCAGGAGAATCTTAGTTCCAAGCCAGTCTTGGCAAATGGTTCTCAAGATCCTATGTCAAAAGTACCCAACACACACAAACTAAAAGGGCTGGTAGAATGGCTCAAGTAGTAGAGAGCCTGCCTAACAAGCATGAGGCCCTGAGTTCAAACTCCAGTACCATAAAAAAAATTATGAAAAGCCACAAACAAGCACTTACATGTGCACAACCATACACACACACACACACACACAGAGGAAACTTGGATATATCACTTATGTTTGGAACTGTTTTGATGAGTCATTAAATAGTAAAAACTTCAAGAATGAAAAGAGGTTACTATCAAGAAAAAATGACTGATAACATGGAAAGTGAACAAGTTTCCAAAAATTGGAGTAAAATAATTTCACTTTAGCTTTTACACTGCATACCTACTACTACACACACACACACACACACACACACACACACACACACCCTTAACATATAAAAATCTGAAAAGACAAAATGTTTACATCTATGGTATGGTACAGGACTTATATCTCAAGGTTTTTTTTTCTATTTCTTTTATTCATATGTGCATGCAATGTTTAGGTCATTTCTCCCCCGTCCCCGCCACCCCCTCCCTCTCCTCCCTTACCCCCTCGCTACCAGGCAGAAACTATTTTGCCCTTATCTCTTAATGTTGTTGAAGAGAGAGTATAAGCAATAATAGGAAGGACCAAGGATTTTTGCTAGTTGAGATAAGGATAGCTATATAGGGAGTTGACTCACATTGCTTTCCTGTACATATGTGTTATATTCTAAATTAATTCTTCTCAAACTAACCTTTTCTCTAGTTCCTAGTCCCCTTCTCCTATTGGCCTGTGTCGCGTTGAAGTTTCTGCATTAGTTCCTTTGCATTGAGGACATCAAATGCTATCTTTTTTTTTTTTTTTGAGTTTCTTGCCTATCCTCATATCTCCCGTGTGTGTTCTCGCCTCATCATGTGATCAAATTCCAGTCCCCTTGTTGCCCTTGATCTAATGTCCGCATATGAGATAGAACATATGCTTTTTAGTCTTCTGGGCCTGGCTAACCTCAAAAAGTATGATGTTCTCCAGTTCCATCCATTTACCTGCAAATGGTAAGATTTCATTCGTCTTCATGACTGAGTAGTATTCCATTGTGTATAAATACCACATTTTCTTGATCATTTCATTGATAGTGGGGCATCTTGGCTGTTTCCATAACTTGGCTATTGTGAATAATGCTGCAATAAACATGGGTGTACAAGTGCCTTTGGAGTAACCTGTGTTGCATTCCTTTGGATATATCCCCAAGAACGGTTTTGCTAGGTCACATGGCAGATCCATAATAGTAACGATGATGATATCTACAGTGGAAGGGTGAGAGGAGAGGGAAAGCAAAGGTGATAAAGAAAAAGGGAAACAAAACAAAACAAAACAAAAAACAGAGCCAAAGAAATAAACAGGAAGATATAGTGTACTAATCAACAGTGAGCTGGTGGTCTCCTAAGCAGGTTAGGAACTGGCATCTGGTGGCACCGGAGCCCTCCTGGTTTCTCTGTTTAATGTGGCTTGGAGATCCTATGCGTGGGTTGGGGGTGTGGAGGTGTCGGAGTTTTGCCTCTTCTTGGTGGTTTTTCCTGCCAGATGTATCTCCAGAGTCTCTCCAGAGTTTACTTTAGGAAGCACGCTTTCTGCTTCCTCCCACTTCATGTTTTTACTTACAATGTCATCATCATCTTTTGCCTTGATTATTACAGAGGTTTGGCAGAACTGGTCTCTCCATTATTACTCTTGTCACCCTTTAATCAACTGTCCACATAGTAGCCAGAATGATCTTTTAAGAAAGCAAATCATATTATGCCATCCCCTTGTTTACAACCTTATAATAGACATGAGGTTTGGCTCAAGTACTAGAGCACCTTCTTCTAAAGCATGAAGCTCGAGAGTTCAAATCCCAGTCCACCAAAAAAAGGGAAAAAATTTATAGTAATA